TGTAATTTTGTCGTGGTGTTTTTTCTCGACGGTGGCGTGTTTCGTTTCCCGAATGGTACCCAAGCTCACTTTGTGAGTTGTGAGGATATGAATGGCAAATGAAATTTACTAAGAATATTATGAGATGCACAGCACAGTTAAATTCACTGATTCCTCCTCTCTCTCTCACATATATCATTGTTGTTCCCCTGTAGACGACTTCATTGTCTACAAGACATTATGATGGATGTGATTTATTCATTTTATTTGTTCATTTTCCATGAAATATGTAGCGATTAATTGTGCCTTTTTGATCGGTAAACTGTGTAGTGGAATGTTACATGTCCAAAAGAAAGTTGAACAACTTGCTCGACGATTCATGTTAAGTCCCTACAAAGTAAGTTTCGATGTTGTGTTCTCTTGGATCATATATTTTTTATGTTTTCTGTTCTATTGGAATATTTTGTTTTATCAATTTCTACCTGATGAAACGAAATAATATGGATCGATGAAAATGTTTGTTTCTGAGTATAGGTGAATTGAATGTAGTTATTACATATTGTATTTCGAACTCACTTTGTCCCACCACGTTTGTCCTAAGCCGTCGATTAGGCCCGCTCGGTTTCCATCAACCGTGAGTCCGGTCAATGCCGATAAAGTCGAGCCACTCTGTTTCTGTTTTTCTCCATGCAGATTTTGGAGGGGCAATAATGTTGAGATTCAATAGTGTTATTGAAAGGGGATCACATATCTTATTACACTGTTTATTAATCACACATATATTGAATCCAAGAACAACTCCAAATAAATCCACGACTAAAGCAGAACAAGAAAAATATTGAATCCAAAGAACTCCAAAGCCGCCGGCCACCATTTCTTTGAGGCCATTGATCACACCCAAGACAAAAAGAACATAGAAGAACCCTTGACCGGGCACGGCCTGATGGGTGTCGTGCTCCGGTCCTCGAGATCATAGATATACAAATTCTGGTCAACCCAATAAAAATATATTGAGTTCCTTCTAACCCCCAATGACCCGTCGTCCCCCACACAACAACATGCCGTGCTCCCGTGCATGCCCAAGAAAAGAGCACTGTCCCCTATGCTCGTCAGCTCCTCCACACAATACTCCTTCCCTTTCCCCATGATTATGCGGAAAACCCTGAAATACGCCACGTCGTTGTAATACATGCGGAGGACCGCCTGAACCAGCAATATCTCCCCATCCACGGCCGACTCTACTATGAAATCCTTGGTGGTGCTGGGCTTCAACGGCCACGTGGAGAGCTCCTCCTCCGCCACACTCACCAGCGGGACAAAGTCAAAGTCCAACATTGGGTCGACGTAAAACACTAACTCGAACAAACGGCCCGTGTTTCCCATCCACACATAGGTTTTCCCACCGAATCCCGACACGGCTGACAAGGTGCCGTCCCCGAAGTCCCTATCCACAGGCATGAAGAAGTCGTCTCCCATCTGACAGAAGTAAAGGCGCTTATTGTCGAGTTGGGTCGGGAAGAGCATGAGGTAGCAGTCGGGCTCGGTCGGGGGCCCGGACAGGATGCACTGGTAAGACTCGTACGTGTATTCATAGTCTCGTATCGGGTTGTGAGGGATACGGATCCTCTCACCGGATGCTATGTTAAGGAGACAACAACCGCAATCGTGGTGGCCGGGGGCATCTCGACGCGCCTCTCCCTCGAAGTCGATGAGGACGAGCCAACCGTACGAGGCCAAGGCTGCCTGCTTGGAGGCCAGTTCGGGTACGTCTATGTTCACGTATGCGTCTTTAGATAGGTCGTATAGGGCGTGTGTTTCCAGGTTTTCGCCATGAGATACGAGCAGCCGTGGGTGGTGATGACCCGCCGGATCAAGGGGAAAACGATGGGGACTTTCACTCATTGTGTAAGAAGGATTTTTTTTTTTTTTTTTTTGGGCTACATGGTCATATATAATATAATATAATATAATATTATGTAATATAGATAAAAACAAAATACAACTCTCAACCTAATAGGACACTCATTAATCCTGATCAAGTATATAGTGTATTATTTTTTGTACCTTAAGGCTTAAACAAAAGGTTAACACCCCGTTAAATCTTTCGGTATCCATATATTCCTACGCATTATATAGGTTCATATAATTCACAATTAGGAAAGGAATCCATATATACCATAATTCTGTCTCTGTTATATATATATATATATATATATATATATATATATATATATATATACGTACTTCCAGTTTTCTGCCTCTGACCAGCTATAATATTATTTCGATTCGATGGCGGCGGCCGGAGATTGGTTGACAAAATCATATTCTTACTCGGGAAGGAAACTAATTATTACAAAGAATAATTGGTCCGACGTTCCCCCTGAGATTCTCAGCCTAATACTATCCCAATTGTTCTTCAAGGACCGCCACAATTTCAAACTCGTGTGCCGGTCGTGGAGCTCGGTCGTCCCAAACGCGCCACAACTTCCACCGCCAGCCAACTCCCGTCATCTCCACTCGCCGTGCCTAATAATCCCCCAGTCGAGCACTCCTAGCCGTTGGAAAATATTCCACTCTCTCCACAACGCTTTTTACTATTTAGACGTCCCTCCCCAAGTCGAACACGCCGAAATCATGTTTTCGAAAGACGGTTGGCTCCTCATGTCGGCCAGGTCCGACTTTTCCCCTATGTTTTTCTTCAATCCCCTGACGTGGGAGAGATTCGAGCTCCCCCCCACTGACGAGCCTTTCGACTCCATCTGCTTCACGTCCCCACCGACAACCGACAAATGTTTTGTTTTCGGGATCTTTGTCTTTGGGACCGAATTCGGGCTCATTCGGCTTGGGGACATGCAGTGGGAGATAGGTCCTTTCAACAGGGGTAGTATTCAACCCAGGATCTGCCCGCCGGTTTTCCACTGTGGGGTCTACCACTACCTGGGTAGCGGTGCCCCTCGCAGTAGGGACCTGGTCACATTCGACCCAATGAGAACGGGCCCTGCTCGGTGTCTGCCCAAGCCCAAGTGGACCCCTGATGGAAACGAAGAGGACGATGATGAGGATTATGAGAAGGACCATGAACTCTACCTTGCAGAAGCCCAAGGGGAGATATTGGCCGTGTTTGTGTACAATGCCGAGAGGAAACTGAGCGTGAAGAGATGGGATTTCGGGGTGTCGCATTGGAGGAGGGTCCAGAGTTTGGGGGGCAAGTGCATGTACGTGAGCAGGAACGGCTCGTTTGTCGAGACTCGGCCATGCCATGGGTTGGAGAACAAGATTTACTTGAACAAGTTTTTCGGGGAGAGTGGTGTGTTGTATTCTATGGCCACGGGGATGTACCATTCGATTGAGGGGGGGTTTGCGAGCCGGGATGGTTATAGGCTCGCCTGTAATTTCGATTTCGCTACTTGGATTAAGCTCAGAAACTGTAATCTCCAAATTCAACAACTCTAAGAGCATCTCCAATGCTCAAACTTTTAACATTTAATTAAATTTGAACACATGTCAAATAATGAATAGAATGTAAATTCATGTAATATAAATGTCAAAGAAAAGACTTTAATTTGAAATGCACATCTCCAATGCATCCCTTTCAAAAGCTTAAAATAAGTACATGTGGATTTTAGTTTATTTAATAATAAATAAGCTAAAAAAAAATTAAAAACGAAATGAATGTGAAATATGTTAAAAATTTTATGATATGACTTTCTGACACTCTTTGGAAATCTAGAAAGTGGGCTTCACACTTTGGAAATTTATTCTCGATGTCATCATAAAAGAATCCATAACATTAAGGATTTGAGAGTAATTTTTTTATTCACTTTCTAACTTGATAAAGTGGCTAACATTTTATTAAATCAACGAGATGCTCTAATGTGCAACTGAATTTGAATGTTAGATTTGCTACACATCAAATTTTACGTTTGATTCTGTGATCACAATTATTTACAATTTGTGAAATAAATAAATAAATAAATAAATACCCAACAAAAACTCACAAATAGAAAGGCATAACATTAAGATATACATACAGACTAATACACATAAGACCCATAACCACGCAGCAGTACGAACCAAACAACAAAAAATTTCAGAAATCTGAAACAAATGAACACCACAGGCTATGGTAATTGCACCCAAAATTTAGAACACTGAACTTCCCTGTTTTGCATGTCCAAAGATTCCAATTGTGTAGCAACACATTCAATTCTCGCCATCACCTGCAACCCAAAGACGCAGACAACCCAAAGACACAGACAGGTATAAAAAGCCTAAGGCAATAGGTTCAGCACTTTGGTCATTTACAAAACAATTCGGACAGAAACAGGCGGAAATCAAACTCACACAAAACATAAGACGAAATTGCTGAAAGAAATTAAAAATGAAAAATCGAAATCATTGAACCCCTATTAATCTGTTCACAACCAAAACCAACAGAAAATTAAAGATCTCCAAAAAAAACATAAAAAAAAAACCAAAAAAAGGGAACACGCAGAACGTCATACGCTTAAAAAAACTGACCGATTTCTATTCAGAGGCCGAGAGACGCCGATGCAAAGTCGCTAGTCGGGGGCGGCGACGGCCCCGATAAACCCTTTCTGCAGATTATGCTTATGAGCCAACCCAAAAGTCCAATCCCAAAGTAACATTATTCTTACAAAACGGCGTCGTTTCACATTCCGAAAAAACGACGTCGTTTTATTTAATGTTGACATGGCCTAATACAACTGAGGCACCACGTGTCATTTGATGGAGGTCATCGGCTATTTGGCTTCTTTTTATACTAGTGGTCTCTCGGTTGTGCACGAACAACTTGCCCCAATTTAATCTATAATTGCAAAATATTGATTTTTTTATATTTTTTTTGTCGGACCCCCAAAAAGTGCTGCTTAAAATACGTCCCACCTTATACATATAATTTGCCAACTCGAAGAGTACACATACATACATTTCTCAACATTTATATAGACAATGACTTAAACAATTACGATGTATAAAAAGCAAAAAACAGTAGAATATATATAGATGAATAGAGCAAAGACTGAACTACATATACATCTATATAAATCAGCTAAGCCAACATATTGACAGACTCAAAAAACACTTGTCCAATAGATAACAATTGATCTAATACAATAGCAACCATAAATATCTTGTAAAACACATTATATTGCAACTTGCTCATGGCATCGATATAGTTATTAACCATATTTCTAACAATGACTTCACTTCAAATAACGATCCTTTCATTGTTAATGTTTTGCGTTTTTTATTTATTTTTTCATCTTTCAACAGCATAGAGCCTATATCTTTTTTTAGAAGCTACTAGAGCATCGATGAATTGGTTGGCCTCTTTAGGTGATTTGTTAGAATTATCGATCTCTGTAGTGTTATTTACAACGAATTGAGACAAAAGTTTACAAAAAAAAAAAAAATCTAACAATAGGATACTATATATATACATGCATGAACACTAGCAAAAGAAAAATAATTTACATGCATCAAATGTTATTTACAATGAACGAACTGAGACAAACTAATATTTAAAAATCAAACAAATCATCGAAAAATACTAATATTCTATAAACTTCTATTAAACAAATCATCTCAACAAAGACTAATTTCATTAACAAAACTTGAATATGAATATAAATGATTCTTTATATAATTTATATTATAGTTATCAATAAATTTATATAACTACCAAAAATTTGGATATATGGTGTATACTAATTTAGTCTAATAACTATTAAAATTGATATATAATATTATACAAATATTTGAACAATACGTATAAATAAATAAATAAATATATATATATATATATATATATATATATGTGTATATATATATAACGAAGACATCTTTATAAAAAAAAAAGTTTTATTAATACAACCATTAATAAATTCAAGTATGATAAAAAAAATATTTGGAAACAACTACGTATTTTTTATTTGTATGAAATATAACTTTTTCATTTCATATTATACTAGTCAATAAAATATAACTCCATATACCATTTTCATTTCATATTATTCCAATATATATGTAACTACCAAAAATTTGGATATATGGTGTATACTAATTCAATTTATTAAGGTTTTTCATATAATTTTTTCATGTCATATTATATTAATCAATAAAATATATATATAACTACATATATTGTTTTCATTTCATATTACCCCAATCAATAAAATATATATAACTATTAAAAATTTGGATATTTGGTGTATATACTAATTCAATCTAATAATTATTGAAATTATTATAGAATATTCTAAAAATATTCAAACAATACAAATAAAATAATTTATATATACAA